CATCACCATCAACACCACCAATACCATCAACATCCTCAACACCAACATCACCACCATCATCACCACCACCATCATGGATATCATCACCATCAACATCATTACCATCATCATCACCAACATCATCATCATCATCATCACCAACATCATCATCATCACCATCACCAACATCATCATCATCAACACCATCATCCACTCCATCAACACCACCAACATCATCAACGTTATCCACACCATTACCACCACCATCATCACCATCATGGACATCATCGCCATCATCATCATCATCAACATAATTTCCAATATCATCAACATCATCACCATCAACACCACCAATACCATCAACATCCTCAACACCAACATCACCACCATCATCACCACCACCATCATGGACATCATCACCATCATCATCAACATCATTACCATCATCACCAACATCATCATCATCATCATCAACATCATCACCAACATCATCATCATCATCACCAACATCATCATCATCATCAATATTATCATCAACATCATCATCCACTCCATCAACATCATCACCAACATCACCATCAACACCACCAACATAATCAACGTCATCCACACCATCACCACCAACATCATCATCACCACCATTATCATCATCATCATCAACATCATCCACACCATTACCACCACCATCATCACCATCATGGACATCATCGCCATCATCATACAGATCATTACCAACATCATCAACATCATCACCATCAACACAACCAAGACCATCATCTTCAACATCATCACCATCAACACCACCATCATCATCATCATCATCAATATCACCACCATCATCACCACCACCACCACCATCATCAACATCATCACCATCAACACAACCAACAACATCAACTTCAACATCATCACCATCAACACCATCATCACCATCATCATCAATATTATCACCTTGAACACCACCATCATCACCACCACCACCATCATGGACATCATCGCCATCATCATCGACATCATTACCAACATCATCATCAACATCACCACCATGAACACCACCATCACCAACATCATCACCATCATCAACATCATCATCATCAACAACATCAAAACCAATATCATCACCATCAACATCATCACTATTACCATCATCAACATCATCGGTGGTGATGGAGGTGGTGATGGTAGTGGTGATGGAGGTGGTGATGGTAGTGGTGGTGGAGGTGGTGATGGTAGTGGTGATGGTAGTGGTGATGGAGGTGGTGATGGTAGTGGTGATGGTAGTGGTGGTGGAGGTGGTGATGGTAGTGGTGGTGGAGGTGGTGATGGTAGTGGTGATGGTAGTGGTGGTGGTGATGGTAGTGGTGATGGTAGTGGTGGTGGAGGTGGTGATGGTAGTGGTGATGGTAGTGGTGGTGGTGGAGGTGGTGATGGTAGTGGTGGTGGTAGTGGTGATGGTAGTGGTGATGGTAATGGTGATGGTAGTGGTGATGGTAGTGGTGGCGCAGGAGGTTGGTGCTGCTGATGGTCTTGCAGGTTGAGGAGGAGGTTGAGGTGGAGGAGGTGGAGGAGGAGGTGGAGGGGGTGGAGGTGGAGGAGCAGGTGTAGGTTGGGGAGGTGTAGCTTGAGGAGGAGGTGGAGGAGGTGGAGCTGTAGCTGAGGAGGTGTAGGTTGAGGAGGTGGAGGAGGTGGAGGTGTAGCTGAGGAGGTGTAGGTTGAGGAGGAGGTGGAGGAGGTAGAGGTGGAGGTGTAGCTGAGGAGGAGGTGTAGGTTGAGGAGGAGGTGGAGGAGGTGGAGGAGGTGTAGCTTGAGGAGGAGGTGTAGGTTGAGGAGGAGGTGGAGGAGGTAGAGGTGTAGGTTGAGGAGGAGGTTGAGGTGTAGCTGAGGAGGTGTAGGTTGAGGAGGAGGAGTTAGGGGAGGAGGTGTAGGTTGAGGAGGAGGAGGTGGTAGAGGAGTTGGCTCACCGTCGAGGCAGCTGGAGTAGAACTCGATGAAGAAGTGTGAGCGACTGCTCGTCTTGAGGATCACCTTGACAGAGTCGAACTGAATCATGGCCTGGCCCACCGACCCCGGCTCCTCCACTAGGGACACAAAGGCAAAGATCCCCCGTGTAGCCTCAACACGCTGCAGGGGCAAGTGCCGTTAGCGAGCAGCACCTACGAAGGCCGGCACGGCACACGAGGGGGTGGGTGGCTACCGGCACCGCGCCCGGCCGCCTTTGTCTCCCCAGTGGCGATGTTCACTACACACCGCACAAAGGTACTCATTTGTGGCCGAGTCGACCTAGGGGAGGCCCAGAAACCGGTTCGGATAATCGTCACCGGCGGCGTTGGCCGTGAGCGGGAATCGAACCTCGGGTCGCCGGGTTCGTAGCGCAGCGTAGCGCTAACCGCTGCACCACCGCTCCCCTCGAGGAACACAACGCACACCGCCACACCAGCTACTCGATTTGAGGCCGAGTCGACCTAGGGGGAGGGGGGGGGTTCAGATAATTTTGATCTGTGACAGCGATTGACGTAGCCATGGAGACGACATTGGTGGGTGGGACCCAAATCTTCCAGGGTGTCCCCCAAACCCAGAGAGGAAAAAAATAAAATAAAATCTAAATTTGAAAACTAATTTCCTGCCTAACATATTACAAAAATTCACTAACACACGGGATAAGAATTTTTATTTATTTATTTTGACACACTTTCATTTCACTAACTCTGTCGTTGTTGTTGTTGTTTTATCCTCAAATCTTGTAACTCAATTTCAGCCCACTTCCCAAAGCGGTATCGACTGTAAACTTGGTTATACATACGTCATACCGATGACGTACGTATATACTTTTACTGGTAGGAACGAAGTTGTAAACTGAGTGTACCAGCCTGCAATAGATTAATGTGTCCGTCCGTCCGTCCCCTTTCAATACTTTAACGAAGTGAAATCTCGTGCTGTTGGGGTGTAAAATCAGCAATAGACAGCGCAGAGACTTGATATGTCTTATTGCACCCAACATTTGTAAGTATAACAATGTCATAAAATTGCGCAAAATTCCAATGTTCCTACCAGCCCACCCTGCAGGGACCTGTTTAAACATTATTTTTTACATGTTATATGTGTGTGTCGGCTTGGGGTCTAATTGTCCACGCTCAACTGACGTCGGCTGAAAAAATCGGCCACGGTCCCATTACGTCTTGGCGAGCTTCGGGACCACTTCCTGGAGTCGTGGTGGAGTTCTTACATCGCTAGTGCGGTACATTTCATTAAAGCGTTTTTGTTAAAATTTTTTTTTTAAAAAAAATATTACTTATTTTACAATAATGTCTAATAGTGTTATTGTATTACAATGCTCTGTTTTTACGTTTTTTTTTACTTTACCATTTCTTGTTTTGCTTATACGTAATGGCAGAGATTAGGGATTAATAAATTTCAGCCATAACCGCGATCATAGAAACATAAATCTACGCATTGATTTATGCGAAGACGTGTCCAGATGGTGTGGCCAAGGTTTGGTAAAATTGTTATTTTCATTTACATAGCGATTATTCTTTAATAGCAATATATTGGGGGGGGGGGGCATTTTGAGCATATTTGAATATTGGGGGGGGGATATTGGGGGGGGGGTGTGTGTGTGTCCCCCCAATATATTATAATTATGGCCTTGTGTGACAGTGACTGTAATCGCTGGTGTTGGCCGTGAGCGGGAATCGAACCTGGGTCACCAGGTTCGTAGCGCAGCGTAGCGCTAACTTCTACACTACCGCTCCCCGCACAGCAGCAGCAACAACAACAACCACCGCCATTCGCCACTGGGTGGCGGTGATGTCACCACCACAATTGTGCCAGGCCATGTGCACGTTGAGGCCACGTAAAGTGTCGAACGCCCACCGGCAGGAAGTCATGGGGCAGACCCAGCAGGTGCCATTGGTCGACTGACCGAGATGACCGGTAGATGCACCACCAGCTGTACCCCCCTACTGTGCCAGGCTAGGTGCAGGAGGTCACGGGACAGACCCAGCAGGTGCCATGGGTCAGCTGACTGAGATGACCGGCAGATGCACCACCAGCTGTACCCCCCTACTGTGCCAGGCTAGTTGCAGGAGGTCACGGGACAGACCCAGCAGGTGCCATGGGTTGACTGAGATGACCGGCAGATGCACCACCAGCTGTACCCCCCTACTGTGCCAAGCTAGGTGCAGGAGGTCACGGGACAGACCCAGCAGGTGCCATGGGTTGACTGAGATGACCGGCAGATGCACCACCAGCTGTACCCCCCTACTGTGCCAGGCTAGTTGCAGGAGGTCACAGGGACAGACCCAGCAGGTGCCATGGGTTGACTGAGATGACCGGCAGATGCACCACCAGCTGTACCCCCCTACTGTGCAAACTCGCTGCGCTTTAGCTGCCTGGTGCTCCGCTCGTTGTTGTGAGCATCACAGCTCTGCCCTCCGTTGTTGCTGGAGGGCGACTGCCTTCAACTGGCCAGTAGCAGCAGCAGCGTCCTTCACGAGCCTCCTGCATTTCTTCCCTTAAGGATGGTGATAGCTGTGCTGCACCAAGTTACGTTTAGGATGGAATTGAAGAGCGATGTGTGATCGTGGGCTACTGAGGCAGACTCCATCTCCTCAGCAAGTCCACGACCACCACCCATCCTTGCAGCGCCTCACGGCTCTCCGAACCTTCGAGCGAAGGCTTCCGGTAAGCCTCCTCATTCTCCGGCGTGGGATGCTGTAGACGATGAGAGTGGGCCTGTCGCTTTTTCTCAGCCAGGCTGAACACCTCCTCCGTCAGCCGGGGTCTCTGGGGAGGTCTGGACCGTGTACCCAAAGCAGCCGTTGCAGCTGCGTGAGTCACAGTCCTAAACCTCGCCCATTTACCCTCGACATGAGGAGGAGTGGGGGACGATGCCAACCCCAGCCGCAAGCGATGATGAAATTCTCGCTTGCAACATTCATCAGCTAGCCGAGGCCTGGCCACCGTGGGTTTGAATGGGCTCCTGGGTGTACACCCACCACCGGAGTGGAAGAATGGCAGGCGCATCTTACAGATGACTAGTCGATGGTCAGTGGGCAGCTCAGCTCCACGGTAGGTCCTGGTGTCAAGGACATGGGCTAGCATCTGCTGGTCCGTCACTACGTAGTCCGGCAGATGTTCTTGCTTGGACCCGGCGCGTATCCATGATGTTGTGTGGATGCGCCGATGTCGGAACAGCGTGTTGGTAATTACAAGCCCATGGGCTGCACAAAAATCTAGCAGCCTCCTACCGTTGTTATTGAGCTGATCTGGTCCATGTCTTCCAATCTCTCCTGCCCAGGTGCCAGCATCATGACCCCCTCGGGCATTGAAGTCACCCGACATGATGACTGCATCCCGAGGGGCCACTTTAGCCAGCACCTGTGACAGGAGGTCATAGAAGGCATCAGACTCATTGGCCTTGCCTGCATCCCTCCACGGATGTTCATCTTCAGTGCGGGCATAAGCAACCACCACCACTCCTCGCCTCCGGTTGATGGGAATGCGAGCCCAAAGTAGCCTGGGGCTTACAGCTTCCCGCACCTCACCGCCACGCTCCCACGCCCCCTTCATTATTTTGTTCAGAAGAAGAGCCACACCCTGTTGTTTGGCAATCTGCTGCCCCGAGTAGAGGACTGTCCACCCCTCATGGTGGCAGGAGCCAGAGTCGGTCCATTGGGACATCCTGAATACCGCAGAGATCCAGGCGGTACCGGTCCAGCTCCCAACAGACGAGTGGCAGCCTCTCCTCTGCAAGCGAGCGTTCGGACATTCCACGTGGCCACTCAGCCTCCTGGCTCTGCCAATTGGGGTTCGGCCAGGAGACGTCATGGACGCCTGTCCCCCCCGGGGCCTCCGGCAAAATTTTAGTTAGATTTCTTTAGCTCGTGTTTTTCGTGGTACTTGAAGGTTGAAGGGGTTACCAGCAACCCCTGGTACCCTGTTTGGCCGCTGCAGTGACTACAAACGCCACAGGGTGGGTGGGGGGGGAAAGCCGCGTGGAATTTTCCATTCCCACCATCGCATCGCTCGCATCCACCATAGCGGCTACCGTCCGGCACCGCCGAGGACGTAGGGGGTTGTTGGACGCACGCACGCACGCACACACAAAGACAAAGCTCCCCCGTGTAGCCTCGCCACACTGTGCACAGGGTATTTTACATTATGAGACCTCCTTTGCCAGTAACAAGATATAAAAATAGGTTTTACCCTTTTAACTGGCACAAAAACTGACACCTTTATTCAAGGCATCATGTCTGCAATAACCACAACACAAGCAGTCAAAATGCAAACAAAAAAGACAACTCTGATAATATTGGCACTGTCCTTGAATTTGATTGGTCCACACCCGAGACGGCCGTCTCGGGTGTGGTGATTGGTCCACACCCGAGACGGCTGTCTCGGGTGTGGACCAATCAAATTCAAGGACAGTGCCAATATTATTATTATCAGAGTTGTCTATTTTTGTTTGCATTTTGACTGCTAGTGTTGTGGTTATTGCAGACATGATGCCTTGAATAAAGGTGTCAGCTTTTGTGCCAGTTTAAAGGGTGAAAACCTATTCCTGTGCACAGGGTGTTGTGGTTGTTGTGGTGAAGGTGACGCTGGTGGTGGTGGTTGTTGCATTGATGGCGGTGTTGATGTTGATAATGTTGACGTTGGGGCCGGCGTTAATGATGTTGTTGATGATGATCTTGATGATGATGTTTATAATGACGAGGACTATGATGATGATGACGATGATTGTGTTGAAGATGACGAAGATGATGATTATGATGGTGACTATGTTGATGATAATGACTATGATGGTGATTATGATGACTATAATGATGATAACTTTGATAATGATGTTGATGACTATGATGATGACTATGTTGATGATTATGATGATTATGATGACTATGTTGATGATTATGATGATTATGATGACGATGATGTAGATGATGTCGATGATGATGATGACTATGATAATGACGACGATGATGAAGATGATGATGACGACGACGATGATGATGATGACGACGATGATGACGATGATGATGACGACGATGATGTAGATGATGATGGTGACGACAATGATGACGATGTAGATGATGACGATGATGATGACAATGATGATGACGACGATGATGTAGATGATGATGACGATGACGATGTAGATGATGATGATGATGACAGTGATGATGTAAATGATGACGATGATGATGACAATGACGATGTAGATGATGACGATGATGATGACAATAACGATGTAGATGATGACGATGATGATGACAATGATGATGACGATGTAGATGATGACGATGATGGTGACAATGAGGATGTCGATGATGACGATGATGATGACAATGATGATGTAGATGATGATGTAGATGATGACGATGTAGATGATGATGATGATGACAATGATGATGTAGATGATGACGATGTAGATGATGATGACAATGATGATGTAGATGATGACGATGTAGATGATGATGATGATGACAATGATGACGTAGATGATGATGTAGATGATGATGACGATGGAGATGATGACGATGATGATGACAATGATGACGTAGATGATGACGATGATGATGACAATGACGATGTAGATGATGACGATGATGATGACAATAACGATGTAGATGATGACGATGATGATGACAATGATGACGATGTAGATGATGACGATGATGATGACAATGAGGATGTCGATGATGACGATGATGATGACAATGATGATGTAGATGATGATGATGACAATGATGATGTAGATGATGACGATGTAGATGATGATGATGATGACGATGATGATGATGACAATGATGATGTAGATGATGACGATGTAGATGATGACGATGATGATGATGACAATGATGACGTAGATGATGATGTAGATGATGACGATGTAGATGATGACGATGATGATGACAATGATGACGTAGATGATGTAAATGATGACGATGATGATGATGACAATGATGTAGATGATGATGTAGATGATGACAATGATGACGTAGATGATGATGTAGATGATGACGATGTAGATGATGACGATGATGATGACAATGATGACGTAGATGATGATGTAGATGATGACGATGTAGATGATGACGATGATGATGACAATGATGACGTAGATGATGATGTAGATGATGACGATGTAGATGATGATGATGACATTGATGACGTAGGTGATGATGTAGATGATGACGATGATGATGACAATGATGACGTAGATGATAATGGAAATGATGACGGTGACGAAGATGATGACAATGATGTAGATGATGATGTAGATGATGATGACGATGATGATGACGATGATGATGACAATGATGATGTAGATGATGATGTAGATGATGACGATGTAGATGATGACGATGATGATGACGATGATGACGACGATGTAGATGACGATGTAGATGATAACGATGATGATTACAATAACGATGTAGATGATGACGATGATGACGACGATGATGTAGATGATGACGATGATGGTGACCACAATGATGACGATGTAGATGATGACGATGATGATGACAATGATGACGTAGATGACGACGTAGATGATGACGTAGATGATGATGTAGATGATGACGATGATGGTGACGACAATGATGACGATGTAGATGATGACGATGATGACAATGATGACGTAGATGATGATGACGATGATGATGACAATGATGATGTAGATGATGATGTAGATGATGACGATGTAGATGATGACGATGATGATGACGATGATGACGACGATGTAGATGATGACGATGTAGATGATGACGATGATGATGACAATGACGATGTAGATGATGACGATGATGACAATAACGATGTAGATGATGACGATGATGATGACGACGATGATGTAGATGATGACGATGATGGTGACTACAATGATGACAATGTAGATGATGACGATGATGATGACAATGATGACGTAGATGATGATGTAGATGATGACGATGATGGTGATGACAATGATGACGATGTAGATGATGACGATGATGACAATGATGATGTAGATGATGATGACGATGATGATGACGATGATGACGTAGTTGATGATGTCACCTTTTTTGGACACGAACTGGGAGGTGACTGCGACGTCGAACGTCGCAAAAACCGGGGAGTGGTCGCTCGTCACGATGTCCTCAGGGCACCCTGCACCATCACCAGCATCACCACCATCACCACCATCAACATCATCATCATCAACATCACCACCATCACCATCATCAACATCATCACTACCATCACCACCATCACCATCATCAACACCATCAACATCATCATCACCAGCATCACCATCACCATCACTGTCACCATCACGATCATCACTACCATCACCACCATCACCATCACTACCATCACCACCATCACCACCATCATCACCATCACCACCATCACCACCATCATCACCACCATCACCATCACCACCAGCATCATCAACATCACCACCATCACCATCACCACCATCATCATCACCACCACCACCACCATCATCACCACCACCACCATCACCATCACCACCATCACCAGCATCATCATCAGCATCATCAACATCATAATCAACATCACCATCACCACCACCACCACCATCATCAACATCAACATCACCACCATGATCATCATCACCACCACCACCATCATCACCACCATCATCATCACCATCACCACCATCACCACCATCACCACCATCATCACCATCATCAACATCACCACCATCACCAACACCATCACCACCACCATCACCACCATCACCAACACCATCACCACCATCACCAACACCACCACAATCACCACCATCATCAGCATCAGCATCATCAGCATCATCACCACCATCACCACCATCACCACCATCAACCACCATCACCACCATCATCAGCATCAGCATCATCAGCATCATCAACATCATCAACATCATCAACATCACCACCATCACCACCATCATCAGCATCACCACCAACATCATCAGCATCACCACCATCATCAGCATCATCATCACCACCACCATCACCACCATCATCATCAACATCATCACCACCATCACCACCACCACCATCACCACCATCACAAGCATCACCATCACCATCTCTTCTCTAGCCTGTACCGCGCCTGTTTAGCCCCCTCAATCCGGCCGAACACGAGCTGTTTCAGCATGCGGTGGCTGGGCATGCGGGCTACATGACCCAGCCATCGCAGCCTTGCCTGCCGGAGGAGCTCACCAATGGGACCTTGCCCAGATCTTTCAAGGATTTGTGAGCTCCTCACACAATCCAGCCTGGTTAAACCCAGGATGGATCGTAGGCAGGTCAGCCTAAATGTTTCTAACCGGCGAAGATGTTCCATTAGGGGGGTCCACGTTTCGCAAGCGTAGAGAAGGGAGGGAATGACCGTGGCCGAGAAGACCTGTAGCTTAGTGCGGAGCGACAGACCAGGTAGCTTCCACACAGCGTTACGCAACCGATGAAAAGATATTGCTGCTCGACTGATTCGGAGTGAGACCTCTGCTGTTAAACTGGAGCCACCATCATCACCACCACCATCACCTCCATCAACACCACCATCACCACCATCAACACCGTCACAGCCATCACCATCACCACCATCATCACCACCATCAACACCACCACCATCAACACCGTCACAGCCATCACCATCACCACCATCATCACCACCATCAATACCACCACCATCACCACCATCACCATCACCACCATCTTCACCACCATCACCTCCATCACCACCATCATCAACACCGTCACAGCTATCAACATCATCACCATCAGCACCATCACCACCATCACCACCATCAACACCGTCACAGCCATCACCATCACCACCATCATCACCACCATCAACACCACCACCATCACCACCATCACCATCACTACCATCACCATCACCACCATCACCACCATCATCAACACCGTCACAGCCATCAACATCATCAACATCACCACCATCATCAACACCGTCACAGCCATCATCAACATCACCATCACCACCATCATCAACGCCGTCACAGCTATCATCACCATCACCATCACTTTCACCATCACCATCACTTTCACCATCACCACCACCACCACCATCAACACCACCACCACCATCACCATCACCACCACCATCACCACCACCATCACCACCACCATCACCACCACCACCACCATCCCCCGCTGCTCACCGTACGAGTTGCAGGCGATGTGCATCTCGGGGTGAGACTTCCACAGCACGCGGTCGCACCACGACGGGACGTTCTTGCGCACCTGTCCAGGTGGAAATTCCACGTTACCGTGACGGGGCCGAGTCCGTCGCCCACCCAGCGCAACAACGACACGAGGTGGTGGTGATGGTGGTGATGGTGGTGGTGGTGATGGTGGTGATGGTGGTGGTGGTGATGGTGGTGATGGTGGTGGTGGTGGTGATGGTGGTGGTGATGATGGTGATGGTGGTGGTGATGGTGATGGTAGTGATGTTGGTGGTGGTGATGTTGGTGGTGGTGGTGATGGTGGTGATGGTGGTGGTGATGGTGGTGGTGGTGATGGTGGTGGTGGTGATGGTGGTGGTGGTGGTGGTGATGATGGTGGTGATGGTGGTGATGGTGGTGGTGGTGGTGATGGTGGTGGTGATGATGGTGGTGATGGTGGTGATGGTGGTGGTGGTGATGGTGGTGGTGATGATGGTGGTGGTGGTGATGGTGGTGATGATGGTTGTGGTAGTGATGGTGGTGATGGTGGTGGTGGTGATGGTGATAGTGATAATGGTGGTGATGATGAAAGTGATGGTGGTGATGGTGATAGTGATGGTGGTGATGACCAGCACCCACGCCCGGCCGCCTTTGTCTCCCCCATTGGCGATGTTCCCTACACGCAGCTACACCAGCTGCTCGTTCGAGTCGGCGTCGACCCAGGTGAGGTCCGGGAACTGACCTCACCATGGCACGTGACCCGCGTTCGCTGGAATGGAACTCGGGTCACGTGCCAGGGGCACTCACCCCTGTGGTCTTGAACTTCTGCCAAACGTAGACGTCCCGGGATCCCTTCTCGTAGCGGTAGGTTGGGGGGAAGGTGATGTCCTCCTCGTCTGAGAGAGAGAGAGAGAGGGAGAGACGTGTGGTCGCGGGGTCACGGAGATGTGGGGTCACGGGGTCGCGGGGTCACGGAGATGTGGGGTCACGGGGATATTGGGACACGGGGTCATGGGGACATGGGGTTAAGGGGTCACGGAGACATTGGGGCATGGGAACACGGGGTCACAGGGTCACGGGGACAAGGGGTCATGGAGATATGGCGTCACGGGGTCACAGAGACAATGGGACACGGGGCCACGTGGACAGATGGAGATATGGGGTCACGGGGTCACGGAGTCACGGGGTCACGGAGACACGGGGACATGGCGTGACGGGGACAGGGAGACACAGGGATCGAGAGTGAGTGAGTGGCTGTGCGGGTGAGCGAGTGGCTGAGCAAATGGCGGAACGGCTGAGCGAGCAGCTGAGTGGCTGAGCGGGTGAGTGAGCGGCTGAGTGGGTGAGCGAGCGGCTGAGTGGGTGAGCGAGTGGCTGAGCGGGTGAGCGAGCGGCTGAGTGGCTGAGTGGGTGGCTGAGCGGGTGAGCGGGTGGCTGAGTGGGTGAGCGAGCGGTTGAGTGGATGAGCGAGCGGCTGAGTGGGTGAGCGAGTGGCTGGGTGCGTGAGCGAGTGGCTGAGTGGGTGAGCGAGTGGCTGAGTGGGTGAGCGAGTGGCTGAGTGTCTGAGCGGGTGAGCGAGTGGCTGAGTGGGTGAGCGAGTGGCTGAGCGGGTGAGTGGGTGAGCGAGTGGCTGGGTGGGTGAGCGAGTGGCTGAGTGGGTGAGCGAGTGGCTGAGTGTCTGCGCGGGTGAGCGAGTGGCTGAGTGGGTGAGCGAGTGGCTGGGCGGGTGAGCGAGTGGCTGAGTGGGTGAGCGAGTGGCTGAGTGTCTGAGCGGGTGAGCGAGTAGCTGAGTGGGTGAGCGAGTGGCTGAGCGGGTGAGTGGGTGAGCGAGTGGCTGGGTGGGTGAGCGAGTGGCCGAGTGGGTGAGCGAGTGGCTGAGTGTCTGAGCGGGTGAGCGAGTGGCTGGGCGGGGTGAGCGAGTGGCTGGGCGGGTGAGCGAGTGGCTGAGCGGGATGAGTAACTCACTGAATTTGTTGAAGATGTGTGTGGACTCGCGCTCCTTGTTCAGCTGGTCCATGGTGAGGATGGAGTCGAACTCTCGCCTACGTAGGTGGTTCATGATGTCCTGTGGGGAGCCGGTGAGCAGCAGCATCAACACCGATTCCCTCCCTCCCCTCCCTCCCTCCCTCCCTCCCTCCCCCCCTCCCTCCCTCCCTCCCTCCCTCCCCCCTCCCTCCCTCCCTCCCTCCCTCCCTCCCCCCCTCCCTCCCTCCCTCCCTCCCTCCCTCCCTCCCCCCTCCCTCCCTCCCTCCCTCCCTCCCTCCCTCCCCTCCCTCCCTCCCTCCCTCCCTCCATCCCCTCCCTCCCTCCCATTCTCCCCCCCTCCTTCCCTCCCTCCCCCCCTCCCTCCCTCCCTCCTCCCCTCCCTCCCTCCCTCCCTCCCTCCCCCCCTCCCTCCCTCCCTCCCTCCCTCCCTCCCCCTCCCTCCCTCCCTCCCTCCCTCCCCCCCTCCCTCCCTCTCCCCCTCACTCCCTCCCTCCCTCCCCTCCCCTCCCTCCCTCCCTCCCTCCCTCCCTCCCTCCCCCCCTCCCCCCCTCCTTCCCCCTCCCTCCCTCCCTCCCCTCCCTCCCTCCCTCCCTCCCTCCCTCCCCCCTCCCCCCTCCCTCCCCCCTCCCTCCCCTCTCTCCCCTCCCTTCCATTCTCCCCCCTCCCTCCCTCCCCCCCCTTCCTCCCTCCTTCCCCCTCCCTCCCTCCCTCCCCTCCCTCCCTCCCTCCCTCCCCCCCTCCCCCCTCCCTCCCCCCCTCCCTCCCCTCTCCTCCCCTCCCTTCCATTCTCCCCCCCTCCCTCCCTCCCCCCCCTCCTCCCTCCCCCCCCTCCCTCCCTCCCCTCCCTCCCTCTCTCCCCTCCCTTCCATTCTCCCCCCCCCCTCCCCTCCTCCCTCCCCCCCTCCCCCCCTCCCTCCCTCCCCTCTCTCCCCTCCCTCCCATTCTCTCCCCCCCCCCCGCTCACTCCTTCTCAGTCTCCCACTCTCCCTACCCCTCCCCCACGTCACTCACCGCGCGCCCCACGTCACTCACCGCGTACCCCACGTGACTCAGCGCGTGCACCACGTGACTCACCGCGTACTCCATGTCGGTACGGTAGTTGAGGTCTCCGAACCAGAAGAGGTGGGAGAGAAGGCGGCAGGTGAGGTCAAAGGTCGCCAGCTGTTTCTCACCCAGCGAGAGCTGCCGGATAATGTCGAAGTAGTTCTGATTGCGCCTGGGTGGTGGAGGGTTGGTGGGTCGGCGGGGGACGAGGAGGACATTGACATCCACTCACTCATACACTCACTCACTCGTACACTCACTCATACACTCACTCACTCACACACTCACTCACTCATACACTCACTCATACACACACACACTCACTCATACACTCACTCACTCATACACTCACTCATACACTCACTCATACACTCACTCATACACTCACTCATACACTCACTCACTCACACACTCATACACTCACTCATACACTCACTCATACACACACACACTCACTCATACACTCACTCACTCATACACTCACTCACTCGTACACTCACTCATACACTCACTCATACACTCACTCATACACTCACTCACTCACACACTCATACACTCACTCATACACTCACTCATACACTCACTCACTCACACACTTACTCACTCACTCATACACTCACACACTCACTCATACACTCACTCACTCATACACTCACTCACTCGTACACTCACTCATACACTCATACACTCACTCACTCACACACTTACTCACTCACTCATACACTCATACACTCACTCATACACTCATACACTCACTCATACACTCATACACTCACTCACTCACACACTCACTCACTCATACAGTCTACACT